CGTCGGAATTTCCACTGGCGAATGTCAGCGAGGAAATACCAGCGCGCGGCCATGTCCCGGGAGGCGGGGAGGGGGCACGTTCTAATGAGTGCTCCAGAGGCTAGGCGACCAGACGAAGACCCTCAGGATGGTTGCCAGCAAGGGCATCGGCGCAAATGCGACGGTCACAGGTTGCCTCCGGCGGGCAAGGGAGCAGCGAGGACAGTTACAGACGCGCGGCGCAAAGGGCAATGGACGCGCAGAGTGGCGCACATGGATAAACGGAGTAGGAGTACTGGAGTAGGAGCCGACGCGCCAGCAACACTGCCCGTCGCCAGGCTGGCAAACCAAAAACATGGCGGGGTGGCGACATCCGCGAATGCACGCGGCAGCGGGCAAAGGGCAAGACCCGGCGCGAGCGCGCGGCGCAAGCGACCACGAAGAACTCGCTCGAAGAAGGGCCCGTGGAGGGGTGGGCCCAGCCAAGCCGAGCGAGCCTGAGCAGCGCGCGCCATCCTGAGCACTTGCGTCGCCCATGCCTGTCTGAGCGCGCCTCTCTCCGCGATGCCTTCCCCTCTCCTCCATGAACGGGGCATCTCCCAGTGCGCCCGTCTGCCGGCGCCGCGCGCCCGCGCGCCTGCCATCTGAGAAGACCGCCCCAAATGGACTGGAACTCGGGCCGCATCGCGTCGCGCCGCATCGCGTCGCCCCTGCGCGGGGGGCGAGCTGCCCGCGCATCGGGCAAGCGCGCCTGAGCAGCGGTTAGTTTAAACCGGCCACTTGCAGTCTAAGTTACCTCGTGATTCCCGCCCGCCCCCCGTTAAACCCGGAGCAGCTCAAGCCTGGGTTTGCCGAGCTGAGGCGCGGGCGCCGCAAGCCCAATCAGGACTCGCCCACAAAGGCGGGGGGGGGGCCCAGGCGCGCCTGGAAATATGAGTGGACGAATTGGTAGACATGTTCGGCAGGACGTTCGGCATGGCATGGCCGGGGAACCCCGCGGCACTCTGCGCCAAAGTTATGTATAAGGAGATGTTCAGCAAATCTGGTGAAGTCAGGTCAGGCACAGGGCTCGTGGACCTGTCTCGTGGACCTGTCTCGCCATCTCCAACGAGGAGCGCGACGTGCTCGACGGGGCCAGGCCGGAGCGAGTTAAGGACGCCGAGGTTCGCACTGAAGGGTTGCGGGCTATCAGACCTAGTTGCAGACGTCGATATCCGATAGCCGCAGGGTGATCTACAACCGCGAGTCCCCCTTCAGGGACGCGCGCAATCGTTCCCGCCGCCGCTCAGAAGCACCATTATCGCAGGCGTGGCTGCCAGCTACTAACTTCCAGCTATGGTTCCACGGGGGCAGCTGGGTCGCCGATCCAAGCAATGCCACTGAGTTAAAGCTGATGGGCGAATATAACCCTGCGTTTCCATGTTGTCTCCGCACCCCAGACCGCAGCTTCTGGAAAGCGATGAGCAGGTTCGACAATGCTGTTGATCGCAGTGCCAGGCGCATCAGGCTGGATGACTTCGGCTGCTGGTTAGATGGCAACGAGCATGATGTTGCCCATCGGCCAGACATCTTCTGCGACGCCGTCGACGAGACCAGCCGCCGTTCAGTTTCGGAGTCTGCCCCAGAGCAGGCGCGATACCAGGGCGGCAGTGCGCACGCGCCAGCCAGGTCCGTTAGCCGCCATCATTCGACGACACGTAAAAGTGACTCTTCGCCGGAGTGTCTCTGGTGCGGGCCCATGGAAGTCCCACGGCTGCCGGAAGCGATGCGGCAGTGGCGTCCTGTGCGCTTGCGTTGGGCACCCCCCTTGCGGCCCCCAAAAAGCCGCGCACCAAACGTCACTCGTACCCAGGGTCACTCTTGCGTGTGACCGAACCACCGCCGCGAGTTGATTTTCAATTTCCTGTCTCCTCTCCCTTTATTTGCTGACCGTGATCAGCGCTACTAACTTTAACTTGGCAGCGCTCGGACGAGTGCATCTTTCGGTAAGGACCATAGGAACATGTTGGGACATCTTGCGAAACAGACACACGAAACCGACAAATGCACTGGCAATCGACGTCCGAGCGATGGACTGCGCACTGGGAGGCCCCTGTGCGTTTACGCCATATTGCTTAGCCGTCGTCTACCTGTGCTACTTTGCTTGCTAGCCAACAGCGCAACTTCTTCCAACTGCGTTCGAGATCGGGCATGTAATTTCATGCACTTGGTTAACCTTCAACGAGTTCGCTACATATAAGTCTTTCGCCCGTCGCACGCGTCGGTCGGCCAGTTTGGCCGTGGGGGGTGGGCCCCTTGTCGCAGGGGACGGGGTCCCAGAAGCAGTTGGGCGTGCGAGGTTGGTCCCATTCGTCTTCGGCGTAAAGCCACAGGGGGAGCCAGAGGCCCCAACTTTTTGCGGCACCCTGGAGCAGGGTCGATCCGTGAGGATCCCCGGGCATTTTCCGGGCGAAATCGCCCTGACTGAAAAAGCTGCAGCGCCCAGATCTCAAGCTCATCGCCCTCGGCCAAAACATCCGATATTTCGATGTTGATCCCCAGGGCCTGTTTTTTGTCCCGAGTCGTTTTTTGCGGTCCGGGGGCCTGGCGAGGGCTCCTTGAGGCCGAAGGCTGCCCAAGATTGTCCGTCGTGTTTTTGTTCACGACACCAGCATCTTTGGGGACGCCCCCGAGCGTGGGGAAGGGCTAAAGACGTCCAGCCGCTTGGCCCCTCTCGGCCCGGGTTCCCGCTCCAGGCGCCCTGCGACCGAAACTATGGTGTGAGTCCTGAGGTCTGGGCATTGCAGGAGCGGGGGGCCTTGAGATCCCGGCTTTGCGTTTTTCAACAACCATCCCGTGGTGTTGGGTATTCGTTTCGAGGAGACAGCGCCTTGCGCCTCTCCTCCTCCTCCTCCTCCTCCTCCTCCTCCTCCTCCTCCTCCTCCCCATCATCATCATCATCATCATCATCATCATCATCATCATCATCATCATCATCATCATCATCATCATCCTCATCCTCATCCTCATCCTCATCATCATCATCATCATCTCATCATCATCATCATCCTCATCCCATCCTCATCTCTCCCATCCTCCGCCTCCTCCTCATTTTCCTCCTCCTCCTCCTCCTTCCCCTCCTCCTCCTCCTCCTCCTCCTCCTCCTCCTTCTCCTCCTCCTCCTCCTCGTCTCCTCCCCCCCTTCCTTCCTCGTCCTATCCTTCACACACACACACACACACACTTCGTGGCCCCATAGGGAGCTCCTGGCGTCGCAGCTGTTTGTACTCCAGGCCCTGGGGTCCTCACGGATCGATCCGGCTCGAGACATGCAGCAGTAAGGCGCCGAGGGTTCCTGCTGTGGGCGAGGGGGGCTACGTTTACTAGCAGAAGGGCGTTTCATCTCGGCTTTGCGGCCTGCGCTGTGGGGACCGTGTACAGTAGGGGCGCTGAAGAAGGAACCCTGTTCGTTCGGGAGGGGCTCAGTGTTCCTTACCTGTTTTGCAGTTTGCCTCCGGCTTTCCTCAGATTTTCGATGGGCAATCGAAGCTTAACTTGTGGAGAAAAGGGGCCTCGTTCCTTATTTAGGGTTCCTTAGGTCAACACCCCGACTGTATGTTCGGCCCAGCTTTTCCTCCTCCCCATCATCCTCCCCAGACAACTGGCGCCTTGATCTGTTCACAAACGCGTGGACCCTTTCCCCGGGGCCAGCTTCGCATCCCGAGTCGTTTGTGTCGACGGTTGTTTACGCCTCGTGATGGCCCCAGCGGCCGCACGGCGTTCCAAGGCTCACGTCGTGTCTTGTTGCGACGAGTGGAGGTGGGGGTCTGGGCCTCCAGCGTCTTGGAAGGGAGCGGGGCCGAGGCCTTTCGCCGCTCGCGGCCGCCTCCCCGGTGCCGCCTCCGCGGCCCCCGGCTCTCAGCTCCGCCGGGCTGGGCCGTTTCCTTGGCAGGTGCTGTAGTTGTTCGAAGCCCCGTAGGTGGGGTCGGAATGGATGTGGTCGGAGGGTCAGAATGGATGTGGTCGGACGATCGCGCCGCCTCGCCGGTGCATCGCCGATGCGTCTCAATGTGGGCCCGATGTTCTCCGCGCATCGCCGATGCATAGGCGATGCGGCGCGATCCTCCGACACCATCTCATCGGACCCCATCTGGGAGAAGTCTCGGACGCAAGAGTTCGAGTATGGAAAAAATGCACCGGCATCGAATCTCGGAGCTCTGGGCGGACCTCCGAAAGTTGATGTGTTACAGTCAACCCGCATAATAAGGAAGCGCAAGTTTCCCATCGGTGCCCTTGCATCCTTGCCTCCTCGGTCCATCCTTGGCCACTTTCGTTGGCCGCGCCCCGCTCGAAAAGCTTCGAAACGGCCTTCCAAGGCCCCTGCATCCTTACCGTGCATCCTTATGATACGGGCCGACTGCACATGGGAAAATAGGGGCTCGTGGAGGGGACGGCGAACATCCAGAGAATATCCAGAGAGCAGTGGGAATATTGGGGCATATACCTCGGCGAGGACGAGGAGGCGGAGGAGGAGGAGGAGGGAAAGGAGGAGGAGGAGGAGGACTGACTATATGCTGTTGTCTCTTCCTCGTAGGGTGGCCATTCCGCGGAGGGCCCTGTCTTTGCCGGGCTTTCGAGCGGAGAGCTCCGCGGGGGCCCAGCCCAGGCAAGCAGGCCCTGCCGACACGCAGCCCGGGCAGCGACGGGCAAGCCGAGAGAGGTCGCTCTTGCCTTGGGTCACCCTGGCGTGTGTAGCCGATCTGCGGAGACCCAGTCGGCTGTGACACGCCGCGGTTTCGGCGGTTGGGTCGGGAAGACGCCGAGATGGGGACGCAGGAAGGGGAGGAGGAGGACGGGCGAGAGCCGAGGAGGACGAACGAGGACGAACGAGGACGAGGAGGAGGGCGAGGGCGGGAGGAGGAAGGAGGAGGAAGGAGGAGGAGAACGGAGGAGGAGGAGGAGGAGGAGGAGGAGGAGGAGGAGGAGGAGGAGGAGGAGTACCCCGCACTTCCTCGACCCCTCGGAGACCCACGGCGCCAGAGGCGGGGGACTTCCTGGACGGCCTGGTCGAGCCGCTGGTGCAGGGCCTGGTGGCGCAGCTCAGGCCCGGCGCCCCTGCCGGCAAACGGCACGGGTCCCCAGCCGCCGCCCGGGGGCGGAGGCCTCTGGGGGGCGCCCGTGGAGGTTGTGGTTATGCCACGGCCCGGCGCCAGGAGGGGGAGGGGGAGGAGGAGGGGGAGGAGGGGAGGAGGAGGAGGGAGGGAGGAGGAGGAGGGAGGGAGGAGGAGGAGGAGGAGGAGAGGGAGACGAGGAGGAGGAGGAGGAGGAGGACGAGGAGGAGGAGGAGGAAGAGGAGGAGGAGGAGGAGGAGTCTCTGGAGTGTTCTGCCTGATCGCGTAGCGATATGATGAAATCCTCCTGCACCTACTGTAGGTGATTGCTTCTCTGGGCTTGCTCAGCTCTGCCGAGGGCCTTGGGCTTTGGGCCAGAGACCCGAGTTGATACGTCGTAAGTACTCGCACCCAGTGGCCAAGGGGGGGAAGACACTCAGCTGCGAGCTTCCCTATTTGCTGGGAGACGAAGCTCCCGCAGTGGGAGCAGAACCAAATCCCCAGCCCAGCGTGGAACCTCGGATGATGGGTTTAATGAATCCACCCCCCTGCTACATGTACCTGCCTACCCAGGGGGGTCTCATATAAGTGCCATCTACATTTTCGAGGCGAAAACATTATGATGTGTACCATTCTACGCGGGTGCTAGCTGACGCGAAACCTTCACAATTGAGACATTTCCTACCTGTGTCGCCTAGCTGATGGAGGGTCCCAAAAGCGGCACACTGGGAGGGGGCAGGTGGGCGGACAGGCAGGGATCTGGCTCTCCTAGGCCGTCGGCTTCCTACAGGAGCGTTCAGACATTGGGCCTTCTCGAACTCGAGGGCTTCTAGATTGGATCTCAGAAGTCGCATGCGGACGAGGTAGGCGTCATTCTCGATTCTCTGGGTCCTCTGACGAATGTGTTTTTCCTCTCGATGGTTCTCTGCGGCGACTCGTCGGCGACAGTGTTGCCGTAGGCGAAAGCTGCATTAGTGCGACCGAGGGCGACGTCCTCGCCCGTCGCGTGTGAGTTGGTGAAAAGAACAACGAAATCTCTAGATCGCCGTGCCTGCTCGACTCCGACCTGCTGCCAATCAGCATCGGGTCCAGTGGGCGAGGTGGGGTGCCCGTGGTAGAAGTTCAAGTAGACTCCTTTCAGTAATATACACGACGTCATGGTCGGAGACCTGGAGGGCGAGGAGCATGGCCAGCAGCTCACCGCGGACCACCGTCTGCCTGTCGCCAGGCAGGGGCCCCCATATCGCCATCTCCAGGTGCATGTCATTGATGCGGAGGCTGTGGAAAGCGGCGATGCTGACGCCCACGCGCCTGAGCGTTGGTGAGGATGTGCCTGCTCCTCCGCTAACATCGCCAAAGATATACATAATTGAACTGGTGCGCTTGGCTTCGAAGCATTGCGGGGCGTAGGCCTCGACACCGTGGGCGGTCCAGTGGTAGTTCGCTGATGGTGGTGGGACCTGCGTCCGGGCTTGAGGAACCAGGCCGCGTGTCCAGTAGCATTCGTACATGTCCTGTTGTGCGGTCGCCTCACCTATCATGCGTTCCGTGGCGTCGTACACGGGGCAATTTTGGTAGGCGGTGCACTTCCAGGTCCGATGGAATGGGGGTTCTTTTTCTATTTGGCGGCGTGGGCACATGCCGTCGGTGATGCCGTTGGTCTGATCCAGCACTTAAGCCTTCGGCCATGTGGCCTCCGCTGCGATGGCGAGCGTCAGTGTAGATAACCGTCGCCCGTGCTTCATCCTGGCTAGGTACAGTAGCAGCTTGCGGTATGACCTGTTGTCGATCCCGTGCTCCATGCCAGATCCTCCGTAATGTTGGCTGGCCTGGGCCCACAGTTCGGCTAGTACATTGCGGTCGATGTCCTGCAGCAGCGCGTCTGGGATGTCCACGTGTGGGTTCCCTGGAAGCTGTGAGCGGTTGAAATCCCAGGTGTCCTGGCCGTGGGCCCCGATGATTGCCCGTGGCAGTGCCCATTCATGTGGACGTGTCGGTGCCCACCCCAGGTCCAGGAGGTACATGATGATGGCAGACTGCGGCCCCTTGATGTGCCTGACGCGCCGTCCGCAAGGTAGTGACTGAAAATGTTGAAGTACTGAGTCCCACGTGTGATGTATAGCCTTCTCCATCGGCCCGGCCTGGATCCATGTCGTGAGCCGTTGCTGGATGGCTTCGCGTAGGAACTTACGGGCGGGGTCAGGGGAGGCGGCCTTGAGGTCGAGTAGGGTAGTGAGACACCGTCCTTGGATCCGTGGGCCAAGCGAGTCTCCAAAGCGTCTCCGAAAAAGGATCAGCTGCGTGCCGAAGACTCCGTTGAGTTGGTGCCCGTAGCTGCCTGCGGCTTGTGCACGATGCTCTTCTTGGCGCTGTTGAGCCCCCGTTCGCGGAGTGCACGACATGTGTCCAACAGGCACTTGGGGAGGTCGCGCCTGATGGCCTGGTGCGAACCTTGCATGCGCTGGGATAGGTCGTCAACCCATATGCGGTGGGAGCATCTCGCATGGACTTGAGGAGGAGGAGGAGGAGGAGGAGGAGGAGGAAGAGGAGGACGAGGAGGAGGAGGAGGAGAAGGAGAAGGAGGAGGAGGAGGAGGAGGGGAAGGATGAAGATGAGGAGGAGGAGGAGCAGGAGAAGGAAGGGATGCGGAGGGGGATGATGCTGAGGGCAGCTGCACAGATGACGGTTTGGGCCTCGTTCTGCGTGGATCCCGCAGCTCGGGCCTGGCGTCGTTCGAAGAAGAAGAAGAAGTGCCATAAGCATAAAAAACTGCTGGCGCTCCGCGCGGACTTCTTGGATCCGCGCTGAGGAGCGCCGAAAGTTCGTGCGTCTATGGCGTTTTCCTCTTCGAGACGTCCCTTCGGGCCTGCTGTGCGGTCCAGAGGGGCTCCTCATGCGCCACTGCCAGATGCGGCTCGAAGGAGACAAGGGCTGGGGTGGGCCCCCGGGAGGGGTCGGCAGAGGCGCTGCGGGCGGATCCGGGCCCGGGTGGGCTGAGGGTGCAGAGGGCTTCTTGGAGGCCCAGCCCGTCTTCGGGGGAGCTCTCTTGAGGGCTCGTGTCGACGCTTCCGGTCCGACTCAATTCTATTCCGATGGATTCCGAGTCCGATTCGATTCGATGTCGGATTCCGGTGCGGGCTCCGATGTCTCAATGGAGGCCTATTGGCCTGCCGATTTCCGCCGACCCAATTTCTCCCGACTCGGGTCCCAATGTGCGCCGATCCGTTTGATTTCGATCGCCTATCCGACTTCTCGATTCGATTTTGGGCTCTCCTGCTCTCGGGGGTGCAGCTGGTCTTTTCTGAGCAGCGCCGCAGCAGAGGCCGCCCCACCCGTTCCCACCCCAATGTTCCAGGCCTCCTAGATTCTAGATGGGGTCATAGAAGATGGGGTCGGAGGATCGCGCCGCATCGCCGATGCATCGGCGACGTGGCTCCATGTGGAGACCGATCTTCTCCGCGCCTGCGACGCCGATGCACCGCCGACGTCGGCGGTGCATCGGCGATGCGGGCGTGATCCTTCGACCCCATCTACTGTCAGGAACTTTTGGATCGCGTGCCGCGCGGCCGGTTTTGGCCCACCACGCATCGGCGCGACACGATATCCACGTCTTGGCCCCCAGGCGCCAGCGCTCCGAGCGAGTTGCCCCGCCCCGCGAAGCGGAAGGACGCGCTATCCCCTCGCAGGGCATAGTATTTGGCCAGGGCCGCCGCCGCGGCACGCCAAGCAGAAGTTCGCGACTGTTCTCGGACCCCAAATGAGAGGCTTTGAAGTGAGGCATTCCAGGGAGTGGCTCCCCTTCCAGGTTCGAATCAGTCGCCGCCTCTTCCTCGGCGGAAGGCGGCGAAAACGAGACGAGGCCGCCTCCGCCGGCGGAAGGACGGCGAAAGCCAGTGGAAATATAGATGAGGCCTCGACGGCTCGAGAGAAAAGCAGCGCGATCTGACACGCGCTGGGTCGCAAGCCCTAGCCCGACCCCCGACCGCACCACTCCCTGCAGCTACGGGATGCGCCCCGCACACCGCCAAGCCGACGTAAGCAAAGAGAATTCCAGATGTATCGCCACTGGCGGCAAGGTGGGCGATGGGCTGCCGCTCAACAGCCTTGGGCCCGTCGCAACAGATGATAGCGTCCAAAGGGACAGACGGTGAGCAAGAGCAGGAGGGGGGCAAATGGGCCCCACGACAGGCTGCGCGAGCATTACGTTTAGAGTGGCGCGTGTGGTATCGTGGCAAGAAGTACACCAGAGTGACAGCTGCAGCTTTCTTATCAGACCATCGCGAAGTCAGAACGCGACGAGAAGCATGATCAACTCCACATTTCCACTGTTCTGGTCATGCACGAGATCGGCTGCAGCGAGATCACAGTGGGGCAGCCGCCTGCGCCGCAACGTTTTACTACCGCCAACGAGCCAGAGCCCACCGCCACAAACAGCTGTTGACGCCCTGGACGCACAACTGTGAGAGCCTGCTACGCGCAGACAGATTGGTCGAGATGCTTCGTTTGGCCCACGCAGTTCCAGGTGCAATGGGAGGGTGCGCCAGCAGTGGATTTTTCGGGGGGCCAGAGTTTCGGGCCCAGCAGCGGCCCCTGGGGGCCATCGTGGTCCCTGTATAGGGGAAACACCCGGTTGACCAGAAAGCATTTCCCTGATGAGGGTCATCGGCATGGCCCGGGCGACCAGAAAGCATTTCCCCTGCTCCGGCTTGAACAATCCCACTAAGTGGGACACGCAGTGGGGACGCAACGAACATGTCACAATAGACCCGCCCGCAAAAGCGGAAAGATGACGACGAGACGTCGCCCCTAAGCAATGTGCAAACAACGCTGCGGGACGGAACTTGCCCCGCGCAGTTGCGCCAGGTCCCCGCAGCACACCTATAGGCGCCGCTGGCGACGGATGGAGGTTCCAACAGCTTGCTTGGGGCCGAAACTGCGTATGCTTCTAGGGTTTGAAAGCGGTCCCCACAGCTCGCGTGGATCACAGGTGATGAGGGTGCCAGTTGATGAGGGTACTACTTGGTAGAGTCATGGGGAGCACAGGAGCGCGGGGCAAGCCGCTGGCAGCAGCTACGTGCAGCGCCTCTTAAGTCGCTGCTTAGCTTGGACCTGACAGGCGAGGTTTCAAAGTGCAGATCCCGCCCATCACCATTGGATCATTCATCGCCGCCCTGAGTGCAACCCCGAGGGGCTCCGCCACTACCACAAGAAGCCCGTGATCACCGCCTTGCAATCGTGAGCCCTCAGAGTACCGTTGCTGGAGCCAGGCGCCCCGCGGGCGACGGAAAGGCCCCGCACTTTTCCTGCCCGGAGAACGACGAAGACGGGCAGAGACGGATGCCTCGCTGGTTTTGACCATAGAGCACTCGAATAATCAGAGTTGAAAGTTTTACGCGCGCGGATGGATGGTAAGCTGCAGGTCATCAGGCTCGCGAGGCAAGGGCCGAGAGAGCGTGATACATATATATATATATACTTCCTCCATGGCCACCCCCTCTGAATGAAGTCAGCCATGCCCACGTTGGAGATGACTGCCACCCAGAAGAAGCCCCCCGCATAAATTATCAAAACAAGTGTTGGGGCACCCGCCGAGCCGCCATTCGGCTGATCCAACAGCGCGCCACCTTCGCGTTCACGTTGGACGCCAATGCGCCTTCGTCTCCTGGCGTGCGCAACGTCGGCTTCGCAGGTCAGAGACGCAGCTACAAAGCTACTGCCGAGGGCAGCTGCCCTGAGACCCCAGACAGGAAGCAACGACAGCGGGGAAATGTGACAAGAGGAAGGAGGACGAACAGAAAAACAAGACATGAAGTGATGAGACAAGGAAATAGGCGAGAAGAAGATGACGACGAGGACGATGAGCATGGGGAACGAAACTAAGAGCGGCATGAAGACCACGAGGACGGAGGTGGAAGAGGTGAAAGTCGCGGCGCAGAAGACGAAGGGGGAGGTGGAGGAGGCCGAAAAAAGTCGCGCAGCAGGCCAAGGTCGCTGCGAACCCGGCCGGGGCGACGGCGGAAGTCGTCGAGGAGCAGGCGCGCGACGCGAAGGCCGACTTGCCGATGCTTGCCAAAGACGTCATCAAGGAGCCGGCGAGAGCGGGGGCAGTGGCTTCGACGACGGCGCCGGGGTGTTCGGCCAAGTGCAAGGGGCAAGGCAAGTTCGCGGCCGACGGCGCGGCAGACGAGACGTGGCCCCGCGCGATCAGTCTGGGGAAGTTCCCCGAGGACAGCAAGGCCACGGACATCACGGAGTGCGCGGGGGGTTGCGCGGGCCGAGGTTTTCAAGGACATGGGCGAGAACTATGCGCGCGGAGAGAAGTTCGCAGAGCGGGGCGACGCCCGGTTCAAGACCCCAGGAGCCGCGCAGAGTCGCGCGGGCAAGCGCGCGGGCAAGCGCGAGCACGCGTGCAAGGCTGAGAAGGCGCACTGCAACACTGACACTTTGGCGCAAGACCCCTTTTCGGGGGAGGAGACGAGGGGTCGCGCGGCAAGGAAGACGGCGCGCACACTCATCGAGAGGGACGGGGGAGACGGCGCCGGAGCGAAGCCGTCGACGCCAATTGCACTAAGGGCGTCGTTTGGCACAACGTTTCACAGTTGGCCGCTCGGGCAGACGGCAGGATGGAGACGGTTGGGGGGGGGGGCGCGGCGTGGAAGGGCCACTTCGAAGGATTGTTTACCGCGTAATAGGAATCGGGGGCGGCCGGGGCGTCGCGCGGGGGCGGCCAGGGCGTCTCAGCATCTGTCTGCGGCGACGCGCCGACGTCGTTTCTGGGATTCGCTGGGCCGGCGAAGCGGGAGCTTCAAAGCCAGGCTGATTTCTCGGAGAGCGCGGGGGCCCATTCGACGCGCACTGGGCGAAGCAGGGAGGATTTGCGCGCAGCGGCTTGGAACGCGCGCGGGGCGGGCGAGGGGCGCGCATTCGACTTTGTAGATATTCTTGATGAAGGCGCCGACTAGGGCGCGCCGAAGTTTAGCAGGGGCCCCCGGACAGGCGGCGCAGCGGGGCGGTTGTTGGAGAACGGGCGCATGTTTCTCGGCTCCCCGGGGGCCCGCGCCAAGCGGCCGGTTGGCGCGTCGCCGCGCGGGCGGCGATTTTTGGGGGGCGCGAGCGCGAGGTTCTGGGCCCCGAGTGCTACGCCAGCGCACTTGGGCGTCGCGTCGCGCGACTCGAATTCGGCCCCGCGCGTTCGATCTGCGCGCTGGCGCCGCGGAGGAAACGAATCCGACGGCTTCGGGGAGGGCCTCAGAGACCTGGGGGGCGGCGATATCGGGCGCCAGCGCTCAAGGAAGACGAGCGCCACTGGGCGCGCGGGCGCGAGCGCAACCCTCGGCAGGCAGCTGCCTCGCGGCGACGCCGAAGCAGTCGAGTGGCCCGGCTGCGGAGAACGGAATTCGAGAGGACGCGCGCCAAGCCATCGGCGCCGCGGCGCCGGGTCGGCGGCTGCCGCGCCTCGCCATGGAAAGCCGCGGGGGGGCGGTCTTGGGCGCGGATTGTTTTGCGGATTTTTTTTGCGGGGCTGTCTTGGGGCATATCGTGGGCGCTTCTTGGCGGCCCCTTGGGGCGTCTTGCGGGTGTCTCAGCGGCCCTCTTGCGGCCGTCCCGGGGCCTCCCGGGCCCCCCCGGGCGCCCTTTGGGACCATCTTAGAGGACTTCGAGCAAACCGGAGGGGGGCCCCAATTAGCGCCATGGCTGAGCGATAAAAACAGGGCCACGTGAAACTCCATGGCTGAATGCATCGCCGCGGGTTTTCCAGGAGAGGCAACGCTTTGTAAGCTGTCTATTCGTAGTTCCACCCGCATTCGTTTTCAAGATCGCCGTCGTCGCGCCCCCAGCGGGCCCCCGCTGGAGGCCCTGCCCGGAAACTGGAAACTGGAGATTGGAAACTGTTAGAGATCCTGCAAAAGTTCCAGCTCGACGCAGCCGGAACGTTTGGCTAAACTGCCGGCATAAACGGCGCGTGGGGCCATGCGATTGGGGAACGTCGGTCCGCCCTCGACTGCGCGCGCGCGACTCTGGCTGGATCGCGCGGCATCAGCGCGGAGCCACTCAAGAACGCGCCAACGAGCCCGTGGAAGGACACCGCGGCCACCGACCAGCGCAAGTGAAGATATCTAGAGGACTGAAGGCGACAAGGGCCCCGGACCCGAAGCCGGCCAGATGGAATCGCGAAGCCCTCTCGACCCGGAGATCCTTCGAGACCCGGGCACGGACGTCGCATCCCGCGTCGTCGACGCGAGCCCCATAGGCCGCCGTGAACCAGGCCGAGCAGGACCCGGCGGACCAGGCCCAGGATAACCCATGCATGACCCCATCGAAGCTCGTTAGGGCCGTGGTTTTCGGCGGACGCAACTCCGAGGGCCCCGTGCGCCGCGCAAGTGAACCCACGTTGGGGATGCTCCAGGACGACCTTGGAAGGCCCTGGCAGACCTCCCCCCCCAAGGCCCAGCAGATGACCAGAGACGCGCGCGACCTCGCCGACCCCGAAGCCGCTCCCACCAGACAGCGGCCCAGGTGGCTGCACGAGGTCCCCATGGCCAGGATCAAGGAGGCGCGATGCAGCATGATGGAGAAGGAAGCGAAGATAGCCAGCGGCGTAATGTGCCGCCTGGGAGGCTTACCCCGCGCCCGATGCGCGCCCGCCAGTGCCGGGGGCTTAAGGGCTAGGAAAAACACACGGTCGGGGTCCATGCGAAGTTTGCCGACCCCTCGGACCTCGCGGGTGACTAGTTGAATGTGCTGAAGCGCCCCAGGTGCATGAGTATGTTCAGCAGAAAGGATACCCCGGTCAAGCAGAGCTGAGGAGGCAGCGGCGCCGGCCCCCCCGAGCCCCGACCACGGGCGCCCCCCAGCGCCAGCCCCGCCAGATCCCCCCGGCAACTTTCACGTCGATCGCGGAGATCAGGGGGGCGAAGTGCCAGGCCGACGGGGCAAGGGGGCGGAAGCGAGGAGAGCGCCGCGGCCAGCAGCGGCGCCGACGAGAACGGCCCCACCGGGGAGCTCCAGAGCCTCGCGCGCGGTCTGCTGCTCCAGCACAACTCCTCGCATATGTCGGCGGCCAGATGCGACGACTTCACGGTGGCGTTAAAGGGCCCTGAGCTTCCTATCTGCGCTAATTAGCTATATACGCTAATCGTATGCACTAATTAGTACTGATTCGCTCTTACATGAGTAGCAGACTCCGCTCTAATTAGGGCTGGCGATTAGCGCTGGTTCTGGCTAGTTCCATGGGGATCGCCTATCATGCATGCGTCTGTGAGCACAGCCATGATGTTCGTATATCGTTTGCTGTTGTCTTCCTCCTCTTCCTCCCTCCCCCCCTTCGCCCGCCCGCCCCACCTCCTCGCTTTCCAAAAAAATAGCCTCGGGCTGCAAGTTGGCGCATGTATCGGCAACAATCGCTAGCCCCCTCAGCAGGGAAGCATCGCGCCCGCTGTCCGAAGGCACTGCGGCTCGAGGACCACCGCGCGCGCAGCGTTTTCGGTTCACCGCCATGCCCCGCGCGACCTGCAGGCCATCGTGCTCGAGCACGTCGCCGAGATCGAGGCGATGAAGCCGGAGCAGGGCGATGCAGAGTACACAATCAAGAACAACATGGGCTTGATGGGGTCTCCGATGAGCGTCGCCCGCAGGGTGGGTCACGCGCCGCTCACCAAGGCCATCTTGGCCAAGACGGTGCTCGCGAAGGAGCAGGCGCAGAAGCACGGGAAAGCGATTTCGCACGCTGTGAGTTACGTGTGCGCCAAGGAGCGCAACATGGCGACAGGCGAGAGAGCTTCCCCCCATGTCAGGATCCTTCTGCACAAAGCGAGTCACCTGCCAGCGCCATCACCATCCCCTGAGTCATCGCCAGATGGTCGGCGCGTCTTTGCCGCGCCAGCGCCTGCGAGATCCTCGTCGCGCGCGGACATCTACAGCGCGCACGGGCGCGGCTCGCCGCGCAGGCTCGTGAAGCAGACGCCCGAGAAGAAGAAAGGGGCGCCGGCCTGCGTGGACTTGGTCGACTCGCCACCAACAGTGGACTTGCTGTCGCCAGGTGCGCGTCCGTCGGCGCACGTGCAGGAGCGCTGCATCTGCATATTCATGTTTGTATAATGTGCACATGTATGTTCATGTTCATGTTTATGCACGTGTATGTTCATGTTTATGTTTATGCAACTGTTCGCGCGCGCGCACAGGTCGCGCGCGCGCCCGTTGTATTCCGCCAGGACACATCCACTTTGAAGGGGCACGTGGACTATGATTCCTTCGTGTACGTTATCGAGGGCGCTTCGGGGAGGCGCGAGTACCTTCTGGTGCGCGGCGACAGAGGCTTCTGCATGGCAGACCTCGGAGGCGGCGAGATGGCCCACGTGTGCACAGAGATGCCGAATCTCCTGCTCGACGAGAAGGAGAAGATGCTGGCCGAGCGGGCTTCCAGGGATAAAGCCAAGGCGGCCGCCATGGCGAGGCCACGCGACGAGGAGTACGATGTCGAGGATTTGCAGGAGGAGGGGACGCCTGCGGCCGAGGCGCCCAAGGCCAAGCCCAAGCCCAAGCCCAAGGCCGAGTGCAAGGCCAAGGCCGAGCGCAATAAGAAAACATTGAAGACTGCGGTGACAAGGCCAGCTGGCTACGGCACCCACTACGTGGAGACGTGCTACAAGGCGTCCTGCAGCATCGCCGTGCGCCAGAAGTTCGAGCCGAAGCGGCAGGTGGCATCCAGCGGGGGCGCCCGCTACAAGGACTGCGACGTGGATGCCATGCGGGCCGTCGGCCGCGAAGCAGTGGCCTTGATGGATAAGGGCGAGCTTGACGAGGAGGGCGCAGCGTCGTGGATGACCAGGAGGCTGACAGAGAAGTTCGGGAAGTGAGGGCGCGCTTGCTAGCCAAAGTGTGAAGCGCCAGTAGATCACATCATATATGTTGCGCTCGAAGCGCCGCGGTTAATTTTCCCCTGGTTAATTTTCTCCTGGCTCGGTGAGCCGACAACCGCGTTAATTTTCTCCTGGTCCGTACGTTCTCTCTTCGCACGCAGCAGGCCATGCGCGAGTATCGCGCGACGTGGCCGACGTGCATCTCGCGAAAAAAAAGGTGCTCTCTAAAAAAGGGTCCCCTGTGTTGGAGGCTGCCTTTTTTTTTGTTTCTCTCTCTCTCTCTCTCTCTCTCTCTCCCCCTCTCTCTCTCTATCTCTCTCTCTCTCTCTCTCTCTCTTTCTCTCACTCCCTCTTGTTGGTTCTCTCTCTCTCTCTCTCTCTCTCTCTCTCTCTCTCTCTCTCTCTCTCTCTCTCTCTCTCTCTCTCTCTCTCTCTCTCTCTCTCTCTCTCTCTCTCTCTTCTCTCTCTCTCTCTATCTCTCCCGCTCTCGCTCTCCCTCGCCCTTCCCCTCTTCTTCTTTTTCTATATGTGTATGTATGTTTACATGTCCGTCTCTTGGTGCGATATATAGACCGATATATATATATATATATGTATGTATATATACATATATATATAGGTATATATAGATTGACAAAGTGATCGTTTGATTGATTGATGCTATCAAACAATCGACCTGCCAATCCTTAAGGATTGGCAGGTTGATTGATTGATTGGCCGTCTGATTTATTGACTGATAGACCGGTGGATTGACCTGCTTTGCTTCGAACAACTTCGGCAACAAATTTTGCCGCGCAGCCACGCCGACTGCAAGGTGCCAGACGAGTGGCGACCTCTTCGAAATGCTTTCTCGACGACTTCCGCGGCGCAGATGGCGCTGCTCGCCCTGCTCTCGGCAGTGGCGGCGCATGGGTGGCATTGGCAGGGGCAGCAGCGGCGGCGAAAGTAGCCGTAGCAGAGAAGTTGGCAGGGGTAGCAGTGGCAGTAGCATCGCAGGTTTTGAGGATGCACGCGCGCGCGGGTCAGGCGACGATGATGGCAGCTGCGCCTCGAGGTGGCGCTCCACCACCAGGAGGAGGCGACGACCGAAGGGACACGCGCCCTGATTTCCAGGAGGGGCCAGGCGACGAGGAGGAGGAGGAGGAGATGGAGTGCGACGAGGCGCACTGGCTCATCTCCCAGAGCGACGGCTGGCAGCAGACAGAGAAGGGCCGAGCTTGGGCGGGGCGGCCCATGCGTTTGTTTTTTCGGAACGGGCCAAAGCATTGCAACACATGCAGCTGTTTCGCTTATATGGGAGGCGGGGTTGGCTGCGTGTCTCCGCAGTGCCAAGCAGATCAACGGCGCGCCTACATGGAGGGCGCCGCGGATTCCCACGGCAGCATTCCAGCGGCGATGTATCCTGCAGCGCATTGTCGGCAGTCTGGTCGGACCACCACCATTGAGCTAGATGCCATGTCAACGAACGGGGGCAATGCACGGCCCTGGAAGCCGACCAAACGCAGGAAGCATAACAAGGGCCAGGCGCGCGGCAGGCCATTGGGCCCGCCAGACAATTTCCCCCCCCTTGTCGGAGAGCTGATTGGGCCACGGAGTGGAGAGTCGGAAATGCAGGATTGAGGCGGAGAAGGGAAGCAAGGAAGGAAGGAAGGGAAGGGTGACCAAGGACGAAGAGTAGTGATAGAGAGAGACGGTGAGACAGAGAGAGAGAGATAACGAAAGAGAGAAACAGAGAAAGAGACAGAGAGAGCGAGCGCGCCCGCCCCCCCGCCGCAGGTGGATCTCGTCGACGAAGGCGATGGAGGGACGCGAAGTGTTTCCCGCTGATCAGCTGGCCCCGCAGGAATGGCTAGAGCCTCCGCAAGCAGTGCCGCCAGCCCCCGATCCCGTTCCGAAGCCGACGGGGGCGACAGCTTCGGACCCAGGAGCGATCATGCAGCAGCTGCAGCAGCTTCAGATGCAGCAGATGCAGCATTTTCAGATGCAGCAGCTTCAGCAGATGCAGCAGCAGATGGCAGCAGCAGCGCCGCTCGCACCGCCGACCCCGATCACGCGAGCAGCACCGCCTCCATTGGTGGCGGCGGCAGTTGCGGGACAGCAACAGTTTCCACCAGTTGCGCCAATCGCTCCTCTCATTCTTCCGCCGCTGCCAGTGATCGAGTCGAGCGACGGGCTTCGCGCTGCTGCGAAATCAGGTTCTGTCGTGAAGCACGAAACCCATGCCGACGCCGACGAGAATTGCACCATCGTCGGAGGTTGCCCCCGTTTCCCCAGCAACGTCAAGCAGCCCTCAGACGAAGATAACGAACACGGCGGCAGCGGGAGCGGATCACTGCCGTCTCGTAGGCGGCTCAAGGACAATAGTGACGCCGCCAATTACGACGCGCCACGCCCCAAGAAGAAACCGAGGAAGGAGTGAGAGCTCCCATGTCCGTTTGCACTGAATCACGGGGGCGCGCCCCCTGAATCTTCGCCACCTTCGGCGCCTGAAAACAAACCCTCGCCCTCTCGCGATGGGACCTGCAGTGGGGCGGGGCAGGGCGGAGATATAGTTGCAGATTGAATGGTTAGAGTTTTGCATGCCATATTGTAGCATGCCTCCTCAGAAGGAGGCAGCAGGGCAACTGATCGCACAGCTTGAGTTGCAGAGACCGAAATGCGACGCAGGTTTTTCATGAAGAAAGCGCAGACGATTGACGGCAAATGCTTCGCATGGTTGAACACACATAGTTTTCAGGAGAAACAGTGCGTGAAATGCTGGACAGATTCGGAATCTAAATTGCACGTTGCATTTTCCGTCGATCATGCTACAAACGAGTATCGTTTCTAGACAGCGCTTGCCGCTATGGAAACCGACCCTTTTCTCTCCAAATGGGTCGGTTGCTGCTCTGTCAGCAAACGTGATACCCTACACGCCACCAAGAGAGGGCCCAGTATACAAGTAAAAGACTTTACCAGTACAAATTTTACTTCGCAGACCAATCAGTACAACTTTTACTGGTACAGTTTTTACCATGGGTAGTGATGTGTGTATGCGCAGAATTTTGTTTATTAGCAGCATGTAGTATTGTATGATATCATGTATGGTATGGTATAGTATGGTGGTGGTGGTTCATTCGGCTTATACCTGATTGGATCGGTCTGATCGTCTTCGTCACTCGGAGGTTTGTGAACTTGGTTTTTTGAGTTGGCTGGCTGCTTCCTTCTCCATCCGCCTCCTCAACGGTTTACGGTGCTCGCAATAAGCAATCTGTTGTGGTCAGTCAGTGCGTCGTTTCGCTTGGTCGCGGCGTTGGCATCCGCAATCGTTTTCTGAGCGATCCGACTTGCCTGTAGCTGTTTGCTGGCTCAAGCGATGACGTTAGTTTCGCTTTGCATCTGCGCAATCGTTCTTCTTACAAGCTTCCCCGCCCGCGCAGCATCAATCCGCGTCGGAATTGCAGATATGGTGGCCAAGAGGCCAGCAGCTGCGATGCCTGAGGATTACGGCGAGGACGCGCATCCTCCAGTGCTCAAGAGGCCCGCCGCGGCCCCAGTTGAAGCAGCGCCTGCGCATCCCACGGCATCAAAATCTCCACCGCCAGCGCCGCCCCCATCATTGGCTCCGAAGTCAGAGAAGGAGACGGCCAAAACGTTCCAGCTGCTCCTGGCCAAACAAGAGAAGAAGCCATCTGACCACCAGGGACAGGCGATTGCAGAGACCGATCAGGAGGTTGCGACAGCTGATCCCAGAGCGGTGAAGAGCTTCGAGAACTCGCTCCGCTACCATGCCACGAACCACAGGAAGGGTGCCACCGAAGAGTCCCGCGCTAACGCTCAGAAGGCCTTAGACTCATGGTTGGAAGTGCCTGGCGGGAGCAGCGCAGACGCAGTTTCATCGCTGATGCGCAGAACAACGGTGGTTTCAAGAATTTGAAATGGGTTCATTCTTGCACTAAGTCACACGAGAAGAAGGAGAGCGAGACGCATTCCCACCAGGAGGGCATGTTCACCAGGCTCTCCAGCCGACGATATCCAATCGTGGCGCCCCCCCTTCCCTCCCACCCCCTCCATTATCGCGCCTCATCCTCCGCCTTCCCGCCACTGCCTTGTTCATCTTTCAGTCTCGCCCTCGCGCCCCCCCCCCCCACCTACGGTAGAATGAATGTGGAGAGGTTATATCGCGATGGAATGAAGTCGGTTACTTTGTTTTCAAAAAGCAATAGAAAGTGGATAAGCAAACCGCACCCTCCCGGCATGAATCAATCATTTTGGGGCGTCTGTTGTCGGCACGCTATGATTCCTAACGTTGCCCAGGGCGAAAATCCTGGAGTTCAACGGCATCCACGCGAACGTGTTCACCATGGATCAGGCGCAACAGCAGCGCGCCAGCGATGCGTGCATTCGCTTGGTAGAACAAAATTACATCGCTCTTGGCCTGGACCCTCAGATGGCGAGGACACGCTGTGTCATCGACGAAGCGGAGCCGTTATTGTCGCAGCACTACTACAGAAACACGACGAAGACCATGACCAGCGCCGACGAGAGGAAAAACATGTTGAGCCCGGCTTCCGCCTTCAAAAAGATCACCGATGCCCCTGGGAACGCATATTTTTCTTCGCGTGGCGCGATCGTGGAGTCAGTGGCATTGAAAAAAAGGAGCTGCATCCCGTCGGGGCCATCTCCTCCCTACCCATGCCCCCCCATCGCCCTTCCTATCTCCATTCATGCCCCCCCTTCGCCAACCTCTCCTTGCAGGACTATCTTGGCCACGCTGCACAAGCACCAGGGCGTCCTCCTGCAGCTGCAGGCGAAAGCATCGATGCTGCGCAAGAAGGGCGGCCATTACGAGCAGCACGAGACCGAGATTGGCATGGCGCAGAAACTCTCGGCAGCATTTCTCGAGGACACGGAGATTTTGCTCGCAGAGGCTGCGTCCGTGGATGCTTCGGATGACGACGACGCCGCGCTGGAGATCACCGAGCGGCTG